TGCTAAGGTTGTCATCCTTTATAGTTATTTTTTTTATTATTTTGAGTTTTTATCAGGTAGGTGGTGCTGTTCCATTTCTTATTTCAGTTTCCCTCTTCCATTTCCCTCTGTCGGCTCCCACGACTTACGACACCCACCGGATGTTATGAGGTAATGGATTTTCTTACGTCGCCGCTACACGGCGAGGTATTTAAGGCAAGGAAGTCCACCGCGCTTTCCCAATGCATGTTGGCGAACTTCTTACCTTTTTTATAGAATGGGTGAAAAACTGTCCACCTGACGGCAGGTAGATGCTGCGGCCTCCGCATTTATCCTCGATTAAAAATCAAAATGTAGATGCGTTGTCACCCCTGAGCACTAAAATGGAATGCCTCGTTTCCAGTAAAGTGCAGTAAAGTAAAAGGTTCTCCGATTCTCTGCACTCACCATACGAAACACAGTACCTCGGTCGAGCCGATCCATTAGTGCTAAAATTCTGTCTTCGATTTCTTTTTTAATAATTCAGACATGCAGATTTTGCTCACGATGTTTGTTGTTGATGATGATGACTATGTTCTTCACCGCCAAGCACGTGATAATCAGTGTTTAAAATTTCAATTAACAATGTTGGCCAGGATCGAAGCCGGGTTGCTCGCATAGTGTGAAATTCACAGCGAGCGCTTTAGCCCATGAGCGACAGTAAACATAAATTTTAAGAAAATATTGTTACGACAGCCAGTTGGGTATTGCATCACGTTGCACGAGAATGTTCCCGACGGTAAGGGTCAATGGCCTCTGTCAGGTAATAAAATGTGTAGGCATAAAAATGGATAACGATTAAACTATTGATGGAAGCAAAACGCAACCCTATGTCTACCAGTTTAAAACCTTTTCTTCTTTGGACATAATGTAATTGCGAGTGTTTTAGTACCTTCTGGTTAAAAGAGTTTAATGACCTGGATTGACCTAGAAAGTTCTACGTGTGCCGGCACAAGTAATTTGTGGTGCCGGCGACCGGAGAATTAACTATTTCGGGAACGCGAAAGTGAACTATACTTCGGGCAGTGATTACGATCAGTCGACCTACGACATCAGCAATTATTAAGAACCTCACTGAAGAAGCTTAGCGATTTTGGACGACGTAATTGTATACTTGCTGTGTGTGCGAAAGATTACATACATTTATCATCCTAATCAGCATTTTTACTCAACCCACACGTAGGTAAATATTGAAAAAATTGCACCACTACTACTTTGTACAGGTCTCTTCTTATAACTAATTTTTTTTTATTCTTATTTTTTGTTTTTATTACAGGAATAAGGTTACAGAGACTTTTAAAGGGGATAAAAATAAAAAAATAATTTAGTGTAAAAGATTCACTATATTGTTTTGTACAGTCCTTAAATCCAAAACAATACCGCTCGATTACACGCACTCCTTAAAAATAGTCTTCATTCATTTCATTCGCTATTTGTAACTTTCAACATTGCATGGAAATATTCTGGAGTTGTTTAGAATTGTTCAAGTACGTACAAATTTCACAATGGTACCATTATCATAAGCTCAATAAAAATAACAAAATAGACGACAGTCTATAGTTAATATAAAAGTTTAAACATTGGAGTCTAAAAAATGGGCTGAAACGCATTCTTTACATTTATTTGTCTGTAAAATCTCTTAGCTATGATAAAAAAAGATTATCGGTTAAAATATACGTTGGGTTCAAACATCGCAGACGCACATTGAACGAAAAAATTAGCCATAACGGGTAACAGAAAAAAAAAATTTACAATGTTGTAAAAGAACAAGTCTCAAAAACAAGGCATCCGATACAGTTTTTTTTATTTTAGGTTCATAAAGCAACTTTTCAAACAACATAAGTAAAAAAAAAACACGAGGTATACATATATCTTGCACAAAATAATAAGAAAATTGATCGAATTTTGTCTACTTGACAAATAGTTGTAAAATTGTAAATGAATATTTAGATTCGATTTCCATCTTAAATGCCTTGTTTTCTGCTACATATACCCAAATAATTGAAAATATAAAATATTGCTAGTGCAAAAGCACTTCAACAATATACAATTCAATAAAATTAAAAGAAAAACGATAATACTAAATATGTTACCGCTTCTTTAACGTCTAGTGTGATCCATCAGCCTTACATTAGCATATAATCTTTTTATTTTTCAACATATTTTCTTTCAGGAACAAAAATCTCTTAATTTAAAAATAAATTTAAAATTATTTAAAATTATATAATTTCGATCATTGAATATTTTGTTCAGTGAACGATTTTCGTATTAAAACCCAACGTATAGCGTTGCTTTTAGATTACACTGTTGAACATCTAAGGGATGTCCCAGAGATCTAACCGCGACTACAGAGTTCTGTACACAAAATACTTAGTGCCTATTACTTAAAACTTTAAGTACTATCACGTTTGCAGTCCTTTCGATATCGGTACACAGTTTTTTTTGACGTCCCACATATTGACAATTACTTAAGCCCCGTTGAACTGTACAGTACGTAGTTCATAATAGCTCAATGTTTAGAACCCATTTCATTGCAATGTCACATATTCTCCTTGTTCAATTATTTGCAAAATATCGATCATAATCTAATTTCGACAGATTGTTAATGTTTAAAAAAAATATAATTTACTAGGTAACTATGTACATTCTTTTTGGACACGTAATAAAATATCATTCATACATCGTCTCTCATATTTAATCTATGTTCAAAACGCTAACTTACGATATTACATAATTATGTTAACTTTCCTCTTGAATGACTTAAATGTAACCTAACACTAGTTTTGTTCCTATCATTAACTTATATTGCCGTATGATGCTTGTAGATAAGGCCACATCTTTCAATTTGACCTTAAATTAGTTGAAAGGAACAACGGTCGTAACACGAGCTCGATATAAAATAATGCAGTCGTTCGCTAAACAATCTACAACAAAAACAATTTAAACAAAAAATTTAATCTATCTTAATACTAACAACAATCATTATCTTACACCTGAAGGACTTCTTGCCGGAGATTTATAGAATTTCAACATAAAATTTAACAGCCGAATATTTTTAAACTTTACAAGGCCATAAAATAACGACATAGTGCCAAACATTACTTTTTTTTTCATTGGATGATCAATTATAAAAATGAATCTACTAATACGAGTTGACGACTCAACTCTGAGATGCAAGATAAATTATTCGAGTACTATTATAGAAAATACTGAGTTTAAAATACACTTAATGTGTAAAATATGTATTTAAACATCCAGTAATGAGAAACTGTTAAGAGAACGGCAAATGTATATTGTTAAATAAATAACAAACAGTTGCACCTTGTCAATTTAATTTCGGTATAGGTTTTTAATAGAGCACTCAACCTTTTGTAAATAGAGCCTCTTCACACGAACATTTGCATGACTGACGTGTGTTTTTTTCAAATTATTATTCAACTTAAAAAATGTGATGTTAAAAATCTGCAATTCTAATATCTTTACATAAAAAGTAAAGTTGCAGCGTAAATACATCCAACACCTGAGAGCACAGGCTTACTACCTGAAAGTGTTGTGGTGTAATTAGAACGCCGCACTATGTGGACGAAACGGCCCCATCTCAAAAATGGTTAGGACAAAAGTCGTGTTACTGAAACCGTTTTGATTGTTTTATATTCTCAGCAGACAGATATATCCGATATAATAGTAGAAAAAAATAATAATCAGTTTTAGGTATATAAAATTACACCTAAACTTTGAACTTCGAAAATTTCCGATTCAAGACGTCAAGAAACAAAAAAGTTATATATATTTTTAGATGGAACGCACCGTTTGGTCCCATAGTGCTCCGTGCGGCCCAAGTGCACGGCGTGGACTTCACATGTCCACGAAATATATCTTTTCTTAGACATGCAGACTTCGCTGCGCACGTATTAATAGTAGCTATAATAAAATTGAATAAAATTTTCAATTTAAAATCTTATTTATGACATTTCAAACGAAAAAATCCTGAAACGAATTTAGTCGTTATTTACGATTTATTTACTTACATAAGTTGTGCAGTTTATAAAAAAAATATATATACAACTTCTTTGAGTGAATGACAGCGACGACGCTCGTGTGAATAAGCTCAAAATGTTCACTTTGAAAAGTTATATATTTAACAAGGTTTTTTGAAAAACATTTCAAAATATAAACAAACGTATAAAACATTACTATTTGCTTCCAATGAGATGTTTATTATTTTGAAAAGTTTGTTGATAAAGGTTATTGGTCAAAGCAATATTGAACTAAATTTTAATTGAAAGAATCAGGCGTTACTTTGTGGAAATCCATTATATTAAAGTGTATTATATCCATTATAATATACTGGTAAGATATGCAGGAAGTCGATGGATGCAGGTGGCTCAGGACCGTGCTTTGTGGCATTCTTTGGGGGAGGCCTATGTTCAGCAGTGGACTTGTGAAGGGCTGTAATGATGATGATGATGATATCCATTATATAAAAGTCTGATAAGATGGATGCAGGTGACTAAGAAATATACGTTGAACAAATTTGTATACACTGAGATGGTCCACCTTATCTTTATCGTCCATACTCTTTTCTTAGCATTTTTAATTTCTGCATTACAAAAAATTATTTGTCATTAAAACTATGAAGTTCCGTTTCAAATATTTCCATGTGTTTTTCAATTGTATTCTCACTCGTCTCCTTAGTATGCATTAATAATAATTAAAATAGCAAATAATAAAAGTACACTTTAAAATAATATAATAATATTTAGAGTATAATAATATATAGATGAAAGGAACTCGTAAAATTGCATTGTCTGTGAGAAAAAGTTGCCTATCAATCTTAAAGTTTTCTTTTACTAATTCATATTACTGTCAACCAATTACAGTTCATTAAGGATTAAACGTAAAATTAAAAAAAAATATATCATCGATAATAATTTTAGTGAGGTCGTGACGTCTCAATATCTTCCAGGTGTGGTTTCAGACAATTAACACTTGAAATCCTCTTCTCCTTCATATTCTTCCTCTTCGTGGACTTCCGGCTGCGACTGCTGCTGCTCTAATGCTTTCTTGTAGGCTGTCATTTCCTAAAAGACAAAGTGATGAAATATTAATAATGACGTGAAATTTGAAATAGGGGATTTTATGAGTCTCCTTTTTAACACTCGATAGCTGATGTCATAAGGAGTAACTTAGGCTACTTTTATTTTAGGAAAAGAATTAGGGTTTCGCGTAAAAAAATTAAAATCCATGAAATGCAATCACAATAAATTTCAGGCGGGCGAAGTCGCGGGGAACAGCTAGTCCATTATACGAAGTTGATAAGATGACCCGTTGTCGATTCATCTAAGTACCTATCGGCGAGTGAGTAACGTATGTAGCACGCGCGATTGGTATTGTTTGTTTTGTACCGCGACTTTTGTACGCGAATACCTAAGTTTAGTTTCTGGAGAATGGTAAACAAGAGCGCCTCACGGCACCTCTCTTTGCTTTCTTTGGTAACCCCTGGTTTACGACATTTGCGCAAGTGACTTTGTAATTATTACAGACATAACGGGTTAAATTTTTTGACTGCCAAAGAGTACTAAAGCAGACGTCTCAGATGCTCACATGCAGATCAGACATGTTAAACGAATTTGTACCACCAACTATCACTCATGAAATCATTCTGTTATTTTTCGTAGTCGTCCCTGGAATGGAGTCAGATTACAAAGTATAACTACCCTCTTCGTAATATCTCCAGTGTAAAGTCTTTTAAGTTCTGTTAAAAACTCGTTCGGTCTGGCGGCCTCTTTATCCAAATTTCATTTATTCAGTTGCTTATATATACCAATATATTGTCCTTAACACTTGCAATATTTTTGTTTGATTTTTTTTTCTTTTAAAAACGTTACCCACACACTAGGATTTTCTCCTGTGTCGTGGAGGCAGTTTACAAACATAAATTGCACGAGGACAAACATCCAGACCCGGAACAATTATTTGTAAGCCATACAAATACTTGTTCCGTGCGGGATTCGAACCCGCGGCCCACAGCGCAACAACTGATTGCTAAGCCACTGCGCCACGGAGCCGTCAGATTGAAAACAGGTTTTAAATTTCGCTCAGCTTCTTCATTTAGGTCCTAATAAAATTTAATGATGGGTTAAAACTAACTTTTAATAAAATGTTAAAGCCGACTTCAGATATGTATAAGTTCGATTTCCAACCAGGGCAAACTTTTTTTTATAGTAGAGAGGGCAAACGAGCACACGGCTCAGATGAGCTTGAGTTGTTCATTTGTACGTGGTAGAGCCATGCTGCATCTATATTATGGTTGTAGCACGAATGGGTCGGCTCGACCGGGGAAGGAACACGCTCTCACAGAATACCAGGGTAAAATAGCAGCTTAACGCTGCCGTGTTTCCTATGATGAGTGTAGAGAACCGGAGACCCTTTTTACTGGAAACGAGGCATTCCATCTTAGTCCTCACGGGTGACAACGCAACTGCATTTTGACTCTTAATCGAAGATAGATGTAGATGTCTATGGGCCACAGCAGCCACTTACCATCAGGTGGACTGTGTGCTCGTTTGTCACCCTCATCCTATAAAAAAAAAGAATAATAATTTGATTGTTTAAACTCCAGCTTATAATTTGTTGTGGAAAGATAGGTAGGTTAAAAAAAAAGATGTTCACAGTCTCACACAGGGGCTTTGAAAAGTACAAAAGAAAATTTATATTTACGTTTATATTGTTGTAGTAATTTTTTTTTATTTATTTACACTTTATTGTACACCTTAATAAAAGGATTACAAAGGGCGGACTTAATGCCTTTTCGCATTCTCTCCCAGTTAACCCGGAGTTTATGTTTAGCTCATTATTCGTTGTAGGGCGAAATCCATATCAAGTTATCGACGTCAGTGGTACTTATTTCCTAATATCGATCTTCTGGTTGTGCAATAATACTAATAAAATTTGTTGTTTCTCACATAACTAATACAGACACAAATCTTACTGAAACTCTGTAACCCGTGGCAGTTGAAAACTGTGTTACAGGCTACACGCTACAAACTCAGTGCTCTGCAAATAATTGTAGGAAATGTGGATTGTGCTCTTAAGTATTACCCGCAACTAGCGATTAGGTTCTTAGTCAATACTGCCCAATACATAAAAATAATTTATAGCAACTTAAAAAAGGATGAGGTTTTAAATGAATGCGTATGGTTTTTTTTATTAATGTTCACAAAATTCCCGGAAACGGTTGGACAGTTAAAATGATTATTTTTCTAACCGACTTCAAAAAAAGCAGGATTCTTTCTTTATTGCATGTGCTTCTCATGTTATTCTCATGTGGTTTCCATATAAATTTGATCAAGATCGGACCAGTAGTCTTCGAGTTATACTTAGTAATGCGTATTTAATCGACTTCATCTACATTCATGATGTTCTCATTTTATTTAAATATTTTTTTATTTATATACGACTCAGACAGTTAAGCAAAATATTATAACATTAATAGAATAAGCATCGATGTGGAGAAGTGTAATCAAATAACCTTTACATGTAAAAAATCCGGTATTGTTTCAATATACAATAAATAATATTCCCCTACACAAATCTTGTAGGATTAGGAATTTAGGAGTAATTTTGGATTCCAAGCTCACAATGGTGGACCATAGAAACTACATAACAGAAAGAGCATATAAAATGCTAGGTTTTGTATTTAGAGTGTGCAACCCTTTCAGTAATATCAAGTGCATAAACGCCATTTACTTTGCATATGTAAGAAGCTTACTCGAATATGCGAGCAGTGTATGGTCTCCACAGTACGCAAAGCATATTGATGCCATGGAATCCATCCAGAAAAAATTCATTAAATACCTAAATTTCAAAATGCGGCAAAATTATGTTATCTACGCAGATAGCTGTCGTTTTTACGGATTTCTACCATTAAGAGATCGGCGCGAGTTGCCCGATATGTTATTTTTGCATAGATTGCTCACAGGTCAAATAGATTCTCCGGAGCTGCTATCGTTGATATCGCTTAATGTACCTTCAAAGCGCACTCGTCACACAAATATACGTTTATTCCATGTACCTTTGTCGCGTACCAGTTATTCATCAAACTCAATTCTGTCTAGGATACTACATAATTACAACACGAAATTTTCTGATATAGATCCCTTTAATTCGACCACATATGGTTTTAAACATGTCGTCACCAAAAAGCTTATATAAATCAATATAGCCTGTTAATTTATATAATACTAAAGCATTTTACACACACATACCTCCACCCACACAGACACTCTCTCTCTCTCTCTCACACACACACACACACACACACACACACACACACACACACACACACACACACACACGCATATACACACATGTGTCTTTTAAATGGATGGAATGGAATGGATAATACACATTTTTAAGTTACTCTTTCTGCTCGTACTCTTAAGTTATGATTTCTAAGTAAGAAAAATGTAATTAGCTTTAATTTAAAACTAAGTAAAGGTTGTATACTATTATTGTAATCATGCCGTAGTTTTCTAATGAATAAATAAATATGCAAAATAATGCAAAATTTTTAATTTACCACTTGTTTAATTGGCGGCGGTAGTCACTTACCATCAGGTGAGCCGCATGCTCGTTTTCCCCCTCTCCTATATAAAAAAATAGGTTGTACCTGGAAACTGGGGTAAAGTTTTTATTGTAACCATTTAGACTAATTTTTTGGATCGTTTCAAGTAATTTGGAGGACCCGAAGCCCTCTCCCCTATTATTAGTATGAAGCGACTGTTGCTTCTCGCACAATAAATCTTCATATATTACGCTCGATACTCACCCTATCATATCTCGCCTTGTCCTGCTCCGACAGCGATTCGTATTTGGACTTAATTTCGGGGTCAGCAGCGGCCCAGCGCCTGCCCAGTTCCTTGGCGATGTCGCCCATTGTGTACTCTGGGTTGTTGGCTTTCACTTTTGAACGTTCGTCATTGCAGAACCAGAAGAAGGCGGATCTGCGGATAAGTATAAAGTATACCTTATATTTAGGTGTACAATGCATCAACAAATGATGATTATAGATAATTTGACGTCTCCACGGCGTAGTGGCTTAACATGAGTTGCGGCGTTGAGGACCGCGGGTTCGAATCCCGCACGGAACCAGTATTTGTATGGGCTACAAATAATTGTTCAGCCGGGCTATTCACAATCGTCTCGGAAAGCGAAATCGACTCGGATTCGATAACTTCTCGCACCGAAACCAATAAACGCTATTCACATTTAACGTTTGGATAAAGGTCACTTAGATACATCCTATAACTATTGTATCGTCATTTAGTTACATGCATTTACGAATTTTGTAGATAAATAGGCTTTTGTATTTTTTTAGAGTAACGCCTGAACAAAAACATAATGCAATATTTTGGAGTTAGCCATTGATATCGAATATAAAAAATATATAATTTAATTATATAATAAATAACAAAAAAACTGAGATATGTCTCGTTTCTGTCGGGTCTGGGTTTTTTTCTATGGGGCGTGACCGTACTTCTTTGATGTTTGTTTTCGATAATTGTGACAGTTTGCATCGGAAACTTCACGAGAGCTCTGAGGCTGGCGAAAACTTTTCGAATATTGATGATTAGAAGAGATAAATAAACCCTTTTAATTATAAGGTAGGTAACAAAAATTAATTACAATTATCTATAAGACGTATTTTCATATAAGTACTTCAATATTTGCACTTAATCGTAAAGCTGAATTTTTGTGAAAGGTGTGTTTTTATAAGTTTTCTATCACAAAGCAGCATATATATATATATATATATATATATATATATATATATATATGCTGCTTTGTGAAACGAGACATATCTCAGTTTTTTTGTTATTTATTATATAGTTACATTATATATTTTTTATATTCGATATCAATGGCTAACACCAAAATATTGCATTATGTTTTTGTTCAGGCGTTACTCTAAAAAAATACAAAATAGGCTTTTGTCTACAAAATTCGTAAATTCATGTAACTAAATGACGATACAATAGTTATGGGATGTATCTAAGTGACCTTTATCCGAACGTTAAATGTGAATAGCGTTTATTGGTTTCGGTGCGAGAAGTTATCGAATCCGAGTCGATTTCGCTTTCCGAGACGATTGTGAATAGCCCGGCTGGGCCCGGATTTATATCCTTGTGCAATTTATGTATGTAAACATAATCCACGATACTGGAGAAAGTCCTAGCATTGGGGTAACGTCTTTTGAAAAAAAATTAATATGTCCTCTCTTCAATAGGACGGGCCCATTTCCAGCAACGTACTTTTACAGGCTGATAAAGAAAAAATAAGAATTTGTCATAAAGGTTTCATAATGGTGATAAATGGATGGTACTAGAATATTTTTGTTGTTTTTTTTTAATACTATTAATAATAATATTCTTCAGGCTTTGAAGTTCACTACTGAATATATGTATATCGTTTCAAGATAACACACGCCGCCAGTCAAGCATTGGAACGGCAGTTTATATTATTTATAGTTTATATTATTTTTTTTTATACTTAGAACATAGAGCGGCGAGTTTGTAAGTGCAAATCTGATATCCTCGCACCAGCCTTATTACGCATCTATTGGTGTTTGAATTGATAAAGTAAATATATAATGTGAGAGATATAGACGTGCATGTATGAAGAAGATAATGAATCTGAAAGAAGCGAAAGAGGTTTGTAAGGATCGTGACACTTGGCGATCTGTTCTCTCTGGCTACCCCGTCAGGGATTGTGCGTGAAGATAAGTAAGTAAGTAAATATATAATGTGTCGGATGGTGCCGGCGTAATAGAATCCAACACCACTATTTCGTCCCGTGGATGCCGTAAGCTTCCAATAGAGGGCGGTGTAATCATCTAGTTTACGCCATACGTAAAATAACCAGACAGAATAGGGTATACTGACACCGTCCATCCACCCGCAAAGCGTGACGTCTTAGACAAATCCTTCCTAAACGAAAAAGACCCCAATAGAAGAAAGTAATACTAAAAAGAAGAAAGTAAAATAATAAAAAGTAATTTTACGTGGTAGAGCCATGCTGAAGCTATATTATGGTTGTAGCACGAATGCGTCGGCTCGACCGGGGAAGGACAACGCTCTCACAGAATACCAGCGTGAAATAGCAGCTTAACACTGCTGTGTTTCGTATGGTGAGTGTAGAGAACCGGAGATTCCTTTTTACTGGAAACGAGGCGCTCCATTTTAGTCCTCAGGGTTGACAACGCAACTGCATTTTGATTCTTAATCGAGGACAAATGTAGGATGTCTATAGGCCACAGCATCCACTTACCATCCGGTGAACTGTGTGCTTGTTTTTCACCATTATTCTTTTTAAAAAAAAACACAAGTGCAACACGACTTTTACTACCTACCAGTTACGGGCAGATCCGTTACTACATAACAACATAACAAGAAATATGGTTCACGTCATCGAATAAACAATATTTTTTTTAAGAATAAGGATGACAAACGGCACTCAGTCCACCTGGTGGTATATAGATAACACAAAACCTACATGTATCATCGATCAAGAATTACAATTTAGATGTGTTGTCAATGAGGACATCCACGACTTTTTCTGCCCCAAGGGCGGCGCCACTAGAAAGTGAGGTAAATATTTGACAGATTTCATAGCGGGGAACTTCCCCTACAACAACAAATTTGTTCGGAAAATGTAAAGTTTATTGTTTCTTTCTGTGCTATTAGTTATATTTTATATTAATAAGATTAAAAATAAATAAACCTATCCACGGATGTTCATAAAAGTAGAAAATTTAAAAAAGACTTTAAAATGTGCAAAAAACTAAAGAGCAAACCACTGACGCATTGTTTTGTGTTTTTGTGTGTATAATACTCTAGAAACTGATAAACATTTATTAAAAACCAACTTCTCAATTAAATGACATTGCGTAACAAAAAAAACATTACCTCAGTGTCAACTAGCGACATCTGGTGAGCAGAAAATTATTAGCCCTCATTCTGAGGACTAAGATAGTCTAGTATTCGCTGCCAGTAAAAAGGGTATCCGGTTCTCTTCGCTAACCATACGAGACAATAGCAGCATTAAGCTGCTATTTTACGCTGATAACTCAATACAATACTATCGCCATTCCGCCAAACTTGGCGATTACGGCAAATCAGGGAACAAGGGAAGAAGCCCATGCCCAGCAGTTAAACGTTACGGGCTGATAATGATGCAGAAAGCTTATTAATATAATGATTTTCTGTACAGTTCTAATCTTAATTTGTCACATTTCGGTCTGGGGCTTATAGATTCCATATTTATGTGCCAACGGTTACTTGCCTAGCATGTCGAAGATGACTATTGATGTAATGGGTTTATGATGGTAGATGATGTGCTAGCCACCTACAATTCTTCTTGGCACGATACCGCGGGGAGTAGGACTATATGATAATTAAGTTTCTAGTTTTAGTTTTTTTTTATAATTATTATAATTCTTCCACAATTTGGCATCTATTACCATACCATATTCTGTATCGCTGCTCTTTGGACTCTACCTACCCTCTCGGGATTACAAGCGTGACTGATTATATTTTTTTTTATAGGATAAGGGTGACAAACGAGCACACAGTCCACCTGATGGTAAGTGGTTGCTGTGGCCCATAGACATCTACATCTATCCTCGTTTGCGAATCAAAATGCAGATGCGTTGTCACCCGTGAGGACTAAGATGGAATGCCTCGTTTCGAGTAAAAAGGGTCTCCGGTTCTCTACACTCACCAAACGAAACACAGCAGCGTTAAGCTGCTATTTTACGTTGGTATTCTGTGAGAGCGTGGTCCTTCCCCGGTCGAGCCGACCCATTCGCGCTGTGCAGAATGGCTCTACCACGTAGAAGTATATGTATTATTATAACTGCTATATTAAAATAAATTCTAATATTATGGAAACCAAATACAAATGTAGTAAGTAAAGTTCGAGACCGTAACTCACAGCGATCTTTTGGGCGCATTCGGGTCCTTCACTTGATGCCGCTTGCGCCCGCGCACTTTGACGTCTTTAGGCGGCACGTAGTTCTGCATCTCCAGATCGTAACGTTGCTTATCTTGCTCCGCCATGTCGTGGAACCTCTGCTTCTCTTTCTTCGACATTGTCTACGGAGAGAACATAATAAAATTATCTTGTTTTTATTTAATGACTAGCTGTGCCCCGCGGTTTCACCCGTGTCATCACGTATCGGTGGTGCGCGACATGACCTAGTTCAAGCATTTTATAATTGCAATTAAATATTTTATTTGATAGCAATGGATGGAAAAATTGGCATAATTAATGGAGTACTTTTATCTGTCGGCATATGATGTATGATGTAGAGTGAAGGTAAGTTTTATCCACTTCCCCCCCCCCTCCCGTACCCCCCACCCACGTTCTCACCGGGCGCCTAGGGTTCGCGCGCCCAGCCAAGTATTGAATTATTTTAATTTTACATTATCTCTTAAACTATGCGTCCAAATAACTTGGTATAAAGAACAAAGTTTATCTTCATAAAATTGTCTTGATGATGAAGTAATTTTCGTTCGTAAGGATAAATAGGCCATGCCTAATAATAACGCTCATAAGTCACTTTTAAATTTTCAATGTTTTTTTGTCACAAAATACCTAATTATGGCTCATGTATAAGAAATAGACATATTATAATTTTTTATTATAATTTTTTAGACGGAGTAAAGATCTATATTTTTCTAGAACATTGTATTTACGTAACGATAACACCAGCGTACGCGGATAAATAATTTCGGGAGTGCTTTTTCTTCTGACTTGCTTAACAAATTGGAAAGATACGTTTGCTTATGCACAATCTGGATTAAATACAGTTCTTAAGTGGTTAAATGGGAATCTACTAACGATTAATATCGACAAAACCAAATTTATTACATTTGCCATACGTAATGTCTCTCTCCCTTTAGATAAAAACCTTTCACTCATAGCCCATACCTGCGATCTCGTAAATATATGTAGCTGTACCAGATTAGAAACTGTTACCAAAATTAAATACCTGGGCATAATCATTGACCAGAACTTATCTTTTAGGCCTCATATTGAACAACTTACGGCTCGTGCACGTAAGCTCATATACGTTTTTAGAACACTTCGTCAAATTGCTGACTTCAAAATTATACGCAGCGTCTATTTTGCTCTTTGTCAATCTATATTCTCATATTGTATTTCTGTATGGGGAGGTGCACCTAAATCCTATTTAAGATCTCTGGAAGTGGCCCAAAGAGCCATCTTAAAGGTTGCAAAGTTTCACCATTTCCTTTATCCGACTAGGGACTTATATAAGGAATGGAATGTACTAACAGTTCGTCAACTCTTTATACTGTACATTGTCTTAAAACAACATTCTAAAACTTCGTACGACCCTTCGACACAACGCTTAAGGAGAAAAGATATTGTCTGTGTCCACCAAAGATTTAGAACAGCATTTGCAAAGAGGTTTTTTAGTTTTATTGGACCGTTACTATATAATAAGTTAAACCGTATACTGGCTATATACTCTTTAACAAGAGCAAATTGTAAATATACCTTAAAAACATGGTTACTGACGAAAGACTATGATGAAACTGAGGCACTTATCAAAACAATGTGATCCACTTGAACATGCTCTCACACCCACACCATCATGCACACACACACACACACACACACACACACACACACACACACACACACACACACACACACACACACACACACACACACACACACACACACACTCTCACACACACACACACACACACACACATCTGCTTTTTGCTTATTTATCTCTTTTTAAATATATTATATTTCCTTTTAAATACATTCTTCATCAGAAAATACATTACACGTAAGTTATTGTCCGGTGGTAGAGGCCTGGTGGCTGTAGCACAGGGAATCCTAGTATCGTCACCAGTCTCTACAACTAGCATTTGTAAGTTACTTAATATTTAAATGTAATGATATTTTGTAAATGTTATTTTGTAGAGAGAAATAAAGTTTATTATTATTATTATTATTATTAAATATCCATATTTAAGGCTAGCTGAGTGATATAGCTTAATGCTAGATAGCCTATACTATTCTACATGAATCTGGCATGTACAAAAAGAATTTTTCAAATCGGACAGGTAGTTCCAGAGATTAGCGCGTTTAAACAAACCAAAAAACTCTTCCGCTTTATTATATTATATTATAAGTATAGACACGGAATCTTAATAAGGATTCTCCAACGTTTTCTGCAAATGTCAACGTCTATTACAAAAATTAAACTTACTATTATAAACTTTACATAACGACAACCCTCTAATTAAGCGGCTCGGGCGATTGACAAATTGCGATATTTCCATCCGAAAAAGACGAACCCAAATCCCACAGACTGATGATGGGGTAGTTTATTATAAGTGCAAAGATGGCGGCTTCGTCAATCCAGCAGGCTGTTATGGTGAGTATGGACAACCTCTCAAGGTTACAACATTGTACTCATGCACGAGCAATGTTTTTAAATATTTTAAATTTCTCAGATATTCCCCGCAATGTTTTCCTTCACCGCCGAGCACACTAAAAAGCAGCACTTAAAGTTACAATGAAGTTGGTGCTTGCGAGGATCGAATTTTGATCGCTCATATCTCTTAGCTACCACTCTTCATACCTAATAATGGCATTTGGAACATGACGGTTTTATAATTAAAAATTTATAAAACTATAATATGTACGTCTATTTATATTTTATTTTTTTATTTTATTCAAAGTGGAACAGCTGACAGCTACATTATATATATTACATACAGATAGTACAGTAACATTAATATACGCAGTAATGCAGCCCGCAGTGCTGTTCACAGATTACCTCTTGAGATAGATGATTAAGACGCTAGGAGACCTGCAGCTGTAAAGAACGTATTATATAAGTGTCAAAGTATGGTCGGCAAGGCATTATGTGACTGAGGTGACAAATTATTATTTGAAAAGTGTCCGGTATAAAATACCACGAAACCTTTCCGTTGAGCATGTGAAAATATCTATATGCTCGATGGTCTCATTATATGTGGCAACCATACGTCGAAACGATTGAACGTATACCGGTTTACCGGTATTGGATCGACAGGTACTTACGTCAAAGAGTCTAAGACATATAATTAATAAAATAGCCCAACCAAATCTTAAGTCAAGTCCATGTCCAAGTCCATCTTAAGATGAACATGGACAAAACTAAGATCATGTTTAATGTCCATGTCACACCTATGCCGGTAGTTGTTGGGAACACTAAGCTCGAAGTTGTTGACGAGTATGTTTACCTGGGACAAATAGTCCGACTAGGTAAGTCCAACTTCGACCGAGAGGTCAATCGACGGATTCAACTCGGTTGGGCAGCGTTCGGGAAATTACGGCACATCTTCTCGTCAGGTATACCTCAAACCTTGAAAACGAAACTGTACACCCAGTGCGTGTTGCCAGTGATGACATACGGAACTGAGACGTGGTCCTTCACTGCTGGCCGGATGAGGAAGCTCAAGGTCGCTCAGCGAGCTATGGAGAGGGCTATGCTCGGGGTTTCTCTGCGTGATAAACTTAGGAATGAGGATATCCGCAGTAGAACCAGAGTAACCGACATAGCCCAACGGATTAGTAAGCTGAAGTGGCAATGGGCCGATCATATAGCTCGAAGAACCGACAACCGATGGGGAAGAAAGGTTCTCGAGTGGCAGCCTCGTACCGGTAGGCGAAGTGTAGGGCGTCCCCCCCACGAGATGGAGTGACGACCTGCTAAGACATGCAGAAGGTCGATGGATGCAGGTGGCTCAGGACCGTGCTTTGTGGCTTTCTTTGGGGGAGGCCTATGTTCAGCAGTGGACTTGTGAAGGGCTGTAATGATGATGATGATGATGATGAGCCCAACCAAAAAGTCTAATGTATTCCGCGTTCTTAACAAAACTCTGCTCTATGCTCCCTTTCATTTACTTAAGAAGGAAAGGAAAAAAGAGCAGGCCGTGAAAAACAATAAAAAATTGTGCCTATTATAAATCCATAAAGTTAATTATGTAATACCTACCGGCGACCTGCCGCGACTATTCTTGTTTAGAATCTATTAATGTGGCGTTTTTGAAAGCTATCACTTTAATTTTATAAATTTTTCGATTTCTCAAAAAAAAAGCCTATAATGTTTTCGGATAATATATAGCCTAGATCACTCCTGACATTGCTCTCTGTTCTTGAATCTGCTCGTGAAGTTCGGTTCAACTAATCCGAAGATTAACCCACACAGACAGAGAGACAGGCAATCCGACAGACGAAAGTTTAAAAAATGGATACTCATGTCATAACGGCATGCATATAACCCCCTCAGCTCAATATAAGGCAGTTACTTCGATATTACAGAGAGACAATTCAATTTTGTTTCTATGCATAGATGCAAAAATAATCTTACATTCCATCTCTCGGCGCATTTCTTCGAAAACGCAGCGAATATGACGTTCTCTTCGGGGTGTTTCTTTTTGTGTTCCTCGCGACATGTCTGCACGAAGAAAGCATACGCGGTCATCCTGCCGCGTGGTTTGTTATACGCCCGCGCTCGTGGCATTCTCACTTTTGTGGCCTGGTGTAGTGCTTGCTGATGTTGAGCCTGTTGTTGTAATTCCTAAAACACAAATAAAAATTCCTTTCACGTCAATAAATAAATCAATTACGTAATCACGTTAAATACATTAAGTTTTGTTGCAATTACATTTTAAAAAAAAAACGCAAATGCAAACAATTAATTCCTAAACACAGTGGTATGATATCTGCCACCGCATAAAATTAATTATCGGTTTTTGGGCAAGACGCTATACAACATGTAACAAAGACCCTGTGGTTTCCGTTACGTGTGTTATCAGAATTAGTATTCAAACGTATAGAAATAACTTTACTTCGGAAAACTAGACCTTAAAAAATCAAAATAAATTTAAATAAAATTTTATTTGCAAATTATATATTGGTTTATTACCTCTGCGTTAGTGGGTTACACCCCACTAACGCAGAGGTAATAAACCTATTGTAATATAGTATTGCCTAAGATTTTTTCACAATATTGCTTTTAGCTATTTACATATTGTGAACACTACAATCGCTTTAATAACTTCTCTGTCATAGATGTCACAAATATATGTATGTAGGTACACCTATACATCCCTAAAAGGATCACCGGGTTGTTTGACACTGTTATTTGACCCCGAATCCATAACTTTACGTTCAAGTTTTCATTTGATTTTCAACGAGCAATCATGGTGTTTTCATCACAATGATGGTGTAACTCTGGTCGGAGTGGCGTCGTTTTGACCTTTGACGTTTGGTTATTTGTATTGTGTAAATGTATCATTTTCGATTAAATGCATGTCTTTTTTTTAATTTATATCTCATTTTAGGTTATAAAATATTACCATAATGTAAAAGCATAACACGGTTACAGAGTGATTTCCACCGCCAAACGATTCCCGTCAAAGTCACATAATCACAATCACACTGCACGACGACGATGAACTTTTAAATAAACGGAATCTATAAACTATACAATGGCGCCCTTGTCCTAACTTTTTTCATGGCAAAATATCTACGCATACACGCCTGGTTACATCGAATACACGTCGACTAAAGTCCTATCAGTGATCCGCCTTTTTTTTAAACTGAAGTGACAAAAGAATTTAGAATCCATCTGATAATAAGTGGCTCCAACCATACATGGGTCATCTGTAGCCAACTTCAAACAAAAAAGACTAATTAATAATTACTCTAATGTCTCTCTATAGTCTCCAGTTCGGAACAGGGATCAAGCACTGCAATCTGGCTGAAAAGGAGTATATGATATGGTAAATGAACAGGGTAATCTAGTCGTGCTCGAAGATAACTTAAAACGAGTATGTCAGAAGCAGGTAACCTCTCGGTAGAGAGTATTATTGTTCTGTAGTTATAACGAGTGAGTGTCTCATTATTCGCGTACTAGAATGACACTATAATTATATAATTTAAATACATAAGGTATATAAAAAAAATAAAACAATATGTCCTGCACCACCTACCTATAGGCGGAAATCGGTATTTGAAATCATAAGAATATAGGAGATGTAGCGTCTATGGGACACAGGATCCACTTACCTTCAGGTGAACTTTGCGTTTGTTTCTCATTTGTCACTTCTACAAAAAGTCATCGATAGAAAGAGAAACACGCAAAACATTTACATACTTACACATATAATACGGTTCGATAAACCACGCACCTGTAACGTAGCTGACTGTCGTTGTAAAGCGGCTTGAATCTGTTGTTGCTGGACAGCCTGTATGTGGTCATGCAGATTTTGTTGTTGTTGTTGAAACGACTGAACAACTTGCTGTTGTAACGCGGCCTGAGCCTGTGCAAGAGCGTTCGCTTGCGCTTGGCTCACGTGTAACTGTTGTAGATTCTGCGCATTCTGTTGGTCTTGTGAGTGTTGAATATTTTGATGCTGTTGTTGATGTTGTTGTTGGTGCTGTTGTTGTTGCTGCTGCTGTTGTTGCTCTTGTAGCATTTGTTGCAGGGTCTGTTGATTCTGCTGCTGTTGCTGCAAAGTTTGCTGCAAAGTCTGACTTTGTTGCTGCAAAGTCTGACTTTGTTGCTGCAGCGCCTGCTGTAGGCTCTGTTGTTGCTGTTGCAACTGATTCTGTTGTTGAATCGCCTGATTTTGCTCTTGTTGTTGCTGCTGCTGCTGTTGTTGTTGCTGTTGTAACGATTGATGGTTTTGTAAACCGTTAGCTTGTTGGTTGCTCTGCTCGGGGTCCGGGCTTGACTGATTTTGGGGCTGAAACAATCATAATTTTTCCTCATTATAATTCGTTTTTAAGTCGTAACATATTTATTTCGTTAATGTTTCTTTGTGCTTGGATGCTGGTGTATGTATGTTGATATTTTTATTTTCTAAATGAATATAATCAATGAGTAAAATGAATAGTTACGTATATTTGAGACCTGATAATACCAATTAAAATTCACATCAACATTGTCTAGGGATATTACATTATTGTTTGACGAACACCTGGTCGTGAGACCAGGGACTAAATCTATATCAAGCTGGAACAATCATGGTATGGATTCCCATCTACACCTACGTCTTGGCGAGAAAACAGACGCCATTTGGTTATACGGCAATTCAACTGCTGCAATATACCGTGATAAGTGACTGAAACCTGTAGTCGATTTGCAAATAAGGCAAGATTTTATGCCTATGCATGATAATGCCCGCCCACAAACGGCTCGAGTGTTAACTGTTAACTCAGTGACTGCAGCAACATAATGAGTTGACCACGAACTGGCCCGCCCAGTCACCGGATTTAAATCTGATTCAGCCGAATTTTTCCGCTATCCATCTTAAATCTGGTGACAGAAAGTGAACTTTTCATGCCACTTCGTTATATACTCAGTATCCCAAAAGGAGATATTGATAACCTCATTTTGACTATGAATAATCGGTGCACAATATACGCTATTAACATACGAGGTGCTTTTACAAAATTATTAATTTATATTTTTTAACAAATTGAATATTTCATTTAATTTCGTTTCTTTCTTAAAATAAAAAAAAAAAAAACAGAAAATGTTATATTAGTACAAGATCAACTTTTTTGTTTCTTAATATAAAAGCCATTTTTAAATAAAAAATATGAGATTTTTTATTTAAAAATGTATTATTAAATGTATATTAGAGTATTATAAAATACTGTGTGTTTTGATAGTTTTACTGGTTGTTCCAGATATTCTTTGCGACTTTCTTTCAATTCACGAATAACTAAAATATCCCTAGAGTGTGTTGATGTGCTTATATTAGGACTTAAAAAAATATTTACAATGATTATGCTTACGATGATATATGATTTATATCCTATATTTATTCAAAATTTCTCTTTTACTTGTATATATATTATTTGTTTATTATTTAATTTTACATAATATTATTTTGTTTTTAATTTTTCTTAGGTTCTAATGGACCTGGTAAAACATGCAGGACGCAGGTAGCTCAGGATCGTGCTTTGGGGCATTTCTTAGGGGAGGCCTATGTTCAGCAGTGGACTTGTGAATATCTTTAATGATGATGACCATGATGAGGTTTTAACGGCATCGATCGAACGGCAGTGTCGAAGCAGCAGCGCAGTTGCTTGCAACATGAATAATACTGAACTGAATTAGATGCCATATTTCAATTCAATTTCAATTTGGTATTTATTATCCCTCACATATGATCAGAAAAATACAATAAACAAGTTATATTGAATTTATACAACTAAATAACAGTTATAAATACATGTATATAGTTTTGGGATCACCAGGCCCTGCCCTCAACAGAAGTGATATTGCTGTAAAATGTTTAAGCGACTTCACAAAAAGAAGGAGGTACTCAATTCGACTTTTTTATGTGTGTTACCTCATAACTGTTTTCTAGGTGAACTGATTTTGATGATTCTTTTTTTATTTGAAAGCTGGTGCTTCTCATGTTGTTATTTGGATCAAGGTCTGACCAGTAGTTTTTGAGTTATCCTTAATAATTGATATTGAAATCAATTGTACAAAATTTTTAATTTTACCACTTGTTAAGAATCGGTGTACATTTAAGAATCAAATCAGAAATGCCATATCCTGGCTTCTGTCCAATAGTGGAAACAAAAATACTGTAGTTCGTCATTACGTAATTTTACTTTTTTGAATAGCAGCTACAACGCAAACTAGATGAGATGGAGTGATGAATTCTCTAATGCTACCATCAATAGAAATGACATTTTTTTTTATAGGATAAGGGTGACAAACGAGCACACAGTCCACCTGCTGGTAAGTGGTTGCTGCGGCCCATAGACATCTACATCTATCCTCTATTACAAATCAAAATGTAGATGCGTTGTCACCCGTGAGGACTAAGATGGAATGCCTCATTTTCAGTAAAAAGGGTCTCCTGTTCTCTACACTCACCATACCAAAACACAGCAGCGTTAAGCTGCTATTTTACGCTGGTATTCTGTTAGAGCGTGGTTCTTTCCCGGTCGGGCCGACCCATTAGTGCTACAACTATACTACTAATATAGCTGCAGTATGGCTCTACCACGTTTGAAATGAAAATTATGATTTCCAAAATAAATAATATTTAAAAAGCGTGTAGTGGCCGCGTATGAATATCCACTACCCTATATTGTTCCGTGGGCGTTGTAAGACGCGGCAGAGGAAAATTAGCACAGAAGATGGGCAGCAGCATCTTCTAATAACAACTCACAATTCCTAACAAAACTCCGGTTGCCAGCCCGCCTGCTAAGCGTGGCAACTATGGCAAAATCGTTTCCCTATATGGGAGAGGCCTTTGTTTAACAGTGGACTTTTATTAGCTGTAGGTAATGAAAATAATATGCCATCAAAAACATAACTTGTAAAAAAAACCAAGTCTCGCAACTCAGTTTTTACCATAATAAGTTGTGAAATCCATGTAATACCAAGCAGGTTAGCATTACTAAGCATTTTTAAACGTGGTAGAGTCGTGCTGCAGCTATATTAATTGTACAGCTGTATCACTAATGTGTCGGCTCGACCGGGAAATCACCACGCTCTCACAGAATACCAGCTTAAAATAGCAGCTTAATGCTGCTGTGTTTCATATGGTGAGTGTAGAGAACCGGAGAACCTTTTTACTTAAAAAGAGGTATTCCATCTTAGTCCTCGCGGTGTCAGCCGCATCTAAATTTTGATTCGCAAATGAGGATAGGTCTATCGGCCACAGGAACCACTTACCATCAGGTAGACTGTGTGCTCGCTTGTCATTCTTATCCTATAAAAAATAGCTCATATATTTGATTTGTTGTCTTTGTAAATCTTTAGAGAATTAATTTGAAAAAAAATTAAAGAACCGATTTCAAAATTATAAACGAAAGCTTCTGCTGACAAACAGAAAAGTATATGATTTTTCCTCCTCGTGCGCGCAAAATTCTTAATTAAAAAAGAGTTATAAGTTTAATTTCAATTCAATAAAAAGGAATTCAATATAAGTTTAATTTCAATTCAATAAAAAGGAATTCAATATGTACTGTAATCCGCATAAATGTACATACAGTAAAAATAATGTAGGTAGCTAGTCCCTTTGGCCCTATGCATTAGTAAAGATAGTCCTTCAGCTGATTTCGACGATGACGTCAATCTACGCAGATAGTACACGTATCCGTATTCCGTAAAACGTATTCATAAGATCGATTTTGGTATAAAATTCGTGCATTTTGCCACAAATATCAGCTCTTGTATTCGAAATCGTATCTTTTTGATCAATAAATAAGTCTGGATGTTTGCCCATGTACAATTTATATATCTCTATACAATACAGGAGAAAACCCTAGTGTTTTTTTTTTTTATAGAGGGGTGACAAAGGAGCACACGGTCCACTAGATAGTAAGTGGATCCTGTGGTTCATAGACACCTATATATCTTATTGATTCAGAATTAAAATTCAAATATGTTGCCACCCTCTTAAGAACTAAGATGGAATAGCTCATTAATAGCTAGAAAGATCTCTGATTCTCTACACTCTTAATACGAAACAAAACAGCATTATGCTTCTATTTCACGCTGGTATTTTTTTCCTTCCCTGGACGAGGCAACCCATTCGTGCTGCAGTAATGAGGGCATCCACAACTTTTTCTGCCACCAGGGCGGCGCCACTTAAAAATTAGGTGTAATATTTAACAGATTCCATAGCTAATTTGTTCGCTAAATATAAAGGTTAATGTTTCTTTCTGTACTATTAGTTATATCTTATATTAATTAGATTAAAAATAAATAAACCTATGCACAGATATATAAAAGACAAAGATATAAAAACACTCGAGTACAAAATACTCAAAAGTAAAAAAAAAAATTGTATTAGTTACCCAAGAGACCATGTTCATGACTTTTTTATAAAAGTATTCTAGCTTTACCCGAATTTATATTTGCGTAAAGTTGCTACTGCTACATTGTATTGATTACATTAAAAAATAAATTAATAAAATTGCATTTTCATTAACATAATTATCATCCAATCATTGGTTACCCAGGGGATGTAAGATGAGCTATATCACCCTATTTTATGCTAAAACATTATGTTTCATACGTTGTTGGACGCGCCACAGGTTGTATTTGTAAACTAGGTTGTATTAGTTACTACCCTATGGAAAAATCACAGTGAAATTAGAATTCTTAATTATTTTTAGTTTTTGAATCACATGTACAAAAAAAAAGTTGATTGACCCAGCAGATATTTTGTTGCTGGTCAGTAACGGAAGCAGTAAGTCACAAAGAGCCAGCAACAAAGTAAAATCGATCAATATGCTCCACTAAGTAATTAGTTAATTATTCATGTACAAGTTATATCATGAAAATTTTAGGAAAAAGGATAGCAAATATTTTGTTGCTGGTCATTAACTGAAGCATCAATTCATAAAGAGCCAAAAACAAAATACATTTTATCGATAAGCTGCACCAAGTAATATTTCGGGAACTGTTGTCAACACGACACGAGTTTGAGCACCAATGAAACTGCCATATAAATTTACAAGAATAAGAAATGCATTGAAAGTTCTGCCTTCTAGTGAACAAGGTACATAAACTTGTAGGCTAGTTTTCTTCAGCGTTGTAGAGATGGCGTTAATTAGGCTAAAACTCCAGAATCCCAAGTCCAAAAAAAACTAAATCTATGGCAGTTGTGGTCTATGGTTGTGGTATGTGGTAATATTTTTTCCGGAATTTGGACAACTTCTTACAAGGAAAAAAAATCAACTCCGATGTGCCAGTCCAAACCGC